TAAAGCAAAGAAACAAACATACCCCCAAACTGCCAGCCTGCTGCCGACCGGTGATTCCCAGCTCCTCGCCATCTTACGTGCTGCCCAGCAGAGTGACTCCACGGGGCTTGCTGGGCTGGAATCTTCAGGGAGCCTATCGCCAGGCCGTCCTCCCGTTCTTTCTGCCCGTGGAACAGTTTCCTTGGCATGTAATTCACGCGCCGTCCGAGCCAATCCTTGAGTATCTTAAAAAGATACTACAATCAATTGTAGACCTTTTTCTTCATTTTTATACCCATTATTAGTCGCTCCCCCTTTCCCTCTAGCGCCCCCTGTCAGAACGCTAAGAAACTATTCATCTAGGGTCTGTAGAGTTGCATAGTCTAGATTTCAGATACAGAGAAACCATACATTCAAAAGGACAAATTAAGAATGGGTTAAAAGGGACAACAAATGATGAAATGTTACATTTTAACCTAATTGTGTGTCCGTTGTTTCACTTTCTGGGCTTTTTGCGTCCCTGCTCAATGGCCCGAGGGAATTCAATGGGGGCTTGGTCCCTGTGGGGTCTCTCTGCAAATGGATTTTGGGCATTCAGTGATTTCTGCAGGCCAGGCCTTTCTTTTGCAGGGCTGCTGGATGCCAACTTTTAGATCAGTAACTGAACACTACCCAGAGACTCCCAAGGACTGCGAGAAGCCAGGGACCAGGCCCAGTGCCCAGTCACTTACCTTGGCCCTGCTGAAATCGAGACCATGGACTGGGGGCCCTACCCACCACCCCCTGCTCTTCTGCTCCTTCTGCACTGTAGCCCAGACTGTGGTGGGCTCCCCACTTCTCGGGGACCTGCACTTTTGGTCATGTTTTACAATAAGGTTAAGAAGTTGCAGTGGTAGGCTGGAAGGACGCCTTCTAAGTTCTTTTGAAACCATGATTTGCCTTTTCAGGTCCAGATGCACGTGCCCTATACGTTTACGCCTTTAGGGCTCAGACTGTGAGCTTTGGGAAGAATAGAACTCAACAGAGCAGCTGGTAGTTGAGGTAAAAGATTTCTAGCCCGTCACATCAAGTTGATAGCTTGGTATTCACTAATCCCGAGGGAGGAACCAATGTGTTTGGCCTTCAGAGGCTGATGGCTCTGAGTTTGGTTTGGGCTTGCCTAACCAACTCTAGCTTTACACTCAAACCCGGGCAGCTTCCCCTTCTAGTCTGTGTTTGCTGCAAACACAGGAGGCTGGAATTCCCATGCTCTTTGGCTTTTATCTAACCTATCTTCACCCTGATATGTACACTAGTTGTTTGGACTCCTTACCTCACCGAAGGTGAATCCCCCCAGCTTTTGAAAACGAGTGTCCACTATTTCCAAAGCCCAAGCGTATGTCTGGCTCATTGTTTTGAAAACCTCCATAGAGACTCTCTGTGAACGCACTCGGCTCTGGTCCCCCTCCTCGTGTGCACATCCTGTAGCTCTCTCCTTTACC